CTGCAACTAAGACCAAGGCCTGTGGCAGCCAAATAAATAAGCAAATAAATTTATTTTAAACAAATAAATATCTTTTAAAAAGAAAACTAGGTTGTTGGATTAGTATTTTAGTGGAGCAAGAATTTCTCTTTCAGCAGTGACGCCAAACTCCCACTTGCCGATACAAATACTTGGCCATCATCACTGACATATCCCAGGTATTTTCCTATTATTTTACTTTGTTGTTGGCTTTACGCTGAGATACAAATAGCATCAACAGACTAGCATTGTGTTTATCCCAAAGATGGTCAATCAAAACTTTTAACTTTTAAAACTGCAGTAGGGAAAAAGGATGTAACATACCTTGGCAGAGCTAAATTTGTCCATCGCATGACAACTATCACATGGTCTCTTGTTCTACTCTTCCAAATAATGGCAAGGAAACATTATGAGAACTATAGACATTAGGCTTATGAGAGGTGAGGCTTGAATTAAGTAGACTAGATTGACTCAAACATCAGCGGGATTAGCGCAACAGATCTCTGAAACGAATGAAGCGTAGACTTTTCTCAGAGTTCACTTGACTCCCAAGATCCACGACTAGAATTTATTTCTAATGCAGCTAAATGGGAGAATTTCAAGGAGAAAAAAAAAAAAAGAACACCACGGTGGCAGGTATTCTGCTACTGGCAGGCCTCTAATTCTATTTCCCGTTTGACATATCATTTTATTTCCATTTTCCCTAAGTGTAACATGGGAACTTTCCATAATAAACGGCCCTCTAATTGGCTGCTTCTTTGCCTGGCATTTGTTTTTCCTTTTTTCAAGGAATCTATCTGTCGTTCCCTTCACAAATTGCAAAAATAAACCAAAAAAAAAAAACAAAAAACTGAGCCACATGCCATTGTTGGGCAGAATTTTCTGAATCTGTCTTGAAGCCAAGAGAATTTATTTGAGTGTCTGGGGAATATCGACGCGGCAGATCTCTTATTCTCCGGCAGATACCGAAGCTGCTTGAACAAATGGTTCGTGTTAGCCGGAGAAAGACAGTGAATGTAAACCATGTGGCTCTGGACTTTGTGGTTTCGTGCTGAACCACAGGCAGCGCGAAGAGCTGTCAGTCTCTAGACTTGATTTCAGCCGAGCTCCCGGGGAGGAGAGAGACTGTCAGTACCACTCTGGTGCTGTCTTCACACGGAGACCTGGGAGCTCGGGCAGGAGCCGGCAGCCGCGTGCAGATTGAGAGGCGGGACCCGGGGCAGCACCCAGGGGGACGTCAGGAAGAGGCACGGTGTTCTCCCCGGGCACCCCACGTGGTGATGAAGGTAGCAAGTGGAGGCCTGTCTGAGGACCAGAAACAACCCAGAGAGGCGAAGGAACATAAAAATCTGGCATCTTCTTCTAGCTATCATAAAGCTGAAGAAAAACATCCTAGAAGAATTAGTTGAGAGACCCAAGGCGGTTAAGGTTACTCGACCAGAAAAATAAGAAAGACAAATTTCTAAGTGGTACCATTTATCAAACTCCAAAAGCAATGTGGGGATGTTATAAAGGAATATTAAGTGCTATTTTATATCACAGAGGCGAGAGAATCAGTTAACCACATTTAAGGGTTGTTTCCTCAGTGAATAAAAGCATGCCTTAGCCAAACCGTGCAGATTACAGAATAAGGTTCTGAAAAATGGAGTGAGGTTTACTTCTGAGTTATCTAGCAACTATAAGGGATAGGAAAAACGATTTCTTCTTCTTCTCCTTGCCTTCTGTTAAAAGAGCCTCTGTATCTCAGAGGGGTTTATTTTAAGCAACCAGCATGTTCATCAGTTTAGGGAAGCAAACAGCACAGCCAAGATAGCTGAACGTTCATCACTATTCATGTTAAATGTTCAAGTGTTCCATTATGGCTGATGCTGAGAAGTAAATCACAGGCTCTGACACCTTTACCAAAGAGACGACAGAGATCAAATAGAACCACCAATGTTCCACATACACTAGTAGGGCTTCCCAGGCGGCTCAGATGGGAAAGAATCCACCTGCAATCCAGGAGATCTGGGTTCAATCCCTGCACCTGGAAGATCCCCTGGAGAAGGGAATGGCAACCCACTCCAGTATTCTTGCGTGGAGAATCCCACGGACAGAGGAGCCTGGCAGGCTACAGTCCATAGGATAACAGAGTCTGGCATGACTGAGTGACTAACACTTTCGCTTTTCTGTTTTTTTCAACACCTCCACCAAAGAGACAACAGAAATCAAATGGTACCACCGACCTTCCATTCACAGTAGTAGGAGCAAAATTAGTAGGAATTTTGTGTCAAATTAGACATGCTAAATTCATTATTTGTAATACAGGGAAGTAAAATCAAGTACAATTAAAAAGTCGACTAGGTGGATCAGGATGAGGCAAACTAGTACAAGATACACTGGATACCTAGAATCAAATAGCATTTTGGGACTGATGATTGTCAGCACAGAAGGGATACATTTGAATGACTTAAATGACTAAACATTTAATCCCGGTCCTCTAAGAAATCTGTTACCTGAGGAAATACAGATCTCATGCTACCTAAACAAAAGCATCTGGGAGAGACACACACGTCACCTTTCACCTCTGCCTTCTATTTTTATCAAGAGATGGGCTCACTGAAGAAAAGGCTGTCCTGTCAAAAGCACTGAAAAAAAAAATCATTTAAAGTGAGAAATAGGAAAACGACACTTTTCTGAGGTTCTTTCTCAGCTCACTGTTTTGAGCAATGATTCTCAAACTTGCCTGCAAATTGAGTCATTAGAAATTAATATATAGATGGATACCTGTGAAATTAATATCATTAGAAATTAATATATAGATGGATACCTGTGAAATTAATATTTATATAGATGGATACCTACACTACAACACAAACAAAATTACCATCTTGGATGGGCCCAGCTATCAGTATAAATATTTCCTGGGTGAAAAAAAAATTACTAAAATCACTGCATTAAAGTATGCTATTAATATGAAGAGAATCGTTATATCTGACTCTAAAACTCCACAATTTGCAGGTAAACCTTCACATAAACATAGCTGTCGACTCGATTGTTATACCATACTTGTTACTTGTGCTCCAATCAGTAAGGTAACTCACGCAGATAGATTACCTGCCATTTTGTACATTGTAAGAATTAAAATAATTTCTAGTAATTCAGATTAGCTGAAGAGAAGAATTAGGTAAGTCCTTATTCAAAAGCACATTCCAAAGCATGACCTTGTTAAAATAAAACTCCAACAATACACATAGGAGGCTCCCAAAGAGTCAACTACAACAGCTCTTATAGACCCATAAGCTTGAAACTAAATTTGAGCCCACGTGTCAGTCAGTATTTAGTAACCACCTACTATGTGTCAGGCATATGTGGAATTTGTCAGTCTACATCCTCATGCAACGGAATGTTCTTAGAATTGCTCACTCATTCCAAGACCCATGGTGCCTATAACGCTGTTCACATTCAGTTCTGCAAATCTCTGTTATAATCCCAAGCAGGGTATATGGCAAAACATTCTCAAACGCCGTCATCCCTTATTCCTACTTAATCAACCAAACCATAAACATAATGTAATTCTGTTGTCTCAGTTGTGCTGAATGCCAATTGAACACTACTATTGTGATAACCTAGTTTTCTTTCAATATTTTCTACTTTAACATTTCTGAAGTTGAGATGTAGCAAACTCTGCCTCGGGTTTGGGCTTGTTCTCTCTCTCATGAGTCTCCCCAGTCCTACAAAGTGATCATTAGGTCAAATTTATATCTTAAAACGGAAGCTTGCGGACTTCCCTGGTGGTCCAGTGGTTGAGAATCCGCTTACTGACACAGAGGACACGGGTTCAGCTGGGGTTGGGGAGGATGCCACGCGCCGCGGGGCAGCTAAGCCCATGTGCCAGAACTGCTGAGCCTGGGTTCTGCAAGAGCAGAGGCCCTGCAGCCCAGCAAAGAGGAGCCCCTGCTCACCACAGCTAGCAAAAGCTGTGTGCAGCGAAGATCCATCACAACCAAAAGTGATAATGATAATGAATGTGTTAATAATTATTATTATTATTTAAATAATAGACCATAAATTATTTATTAATAATAATAACAATGGAAGCTTGTTTAGAGCGGAGTGAAGCAGAGGTTTTCCTAGCTCATGCAACAGCCCAGGGCATATACCAGTCATGTAAAGTAGAAAAGGAAGAATGAAGGGCAGAGAACATCAATTTAATAATTCTGCAGCTGGACACAGGTCAAGTCTCGTTGCAAGATAGTCCATATTATCAGTTTCCAGCAGGTGGCATCTCACACTTCTAAGCCAGTCCTTAAAGAGCCTAGAGGAAAAGGGTATCCCCCCGCCCGGGGAGCACGTGGAAGCCACAGCGACGCTCGTGTTTCATGAACAGGCTTTTGCCAGCACGGCCACCAGGATGGGAATTTCTGCAACTGGCCTCAGCGTGTGGTCACCGGGACTGCCCACAAGCGTTTGGTGTTTTCAGCAGGACCGGAGCACGGCGCACATTTTAATGACAGTACTGCCTGTCTTAGAACTGTCTGCACGACATAATTGTGGAGTAAGGTGGGGATTAGGAGTCTTCAACAAGTACTGTAGGTGGGGGTGACAAGTGTATTAAAATAACCAAAACCACTGGCTGTTTTTCTGCAGATAAGCCTCACAGCTGTGATTCACAGCATGGCAAAGCTTTCTGGAGAGACTCCTACAGTACTTAACTGTGCCTTCTGCTGGGGTATTCCTCGTGCTTACCTTTGTTAAAAATGTGATGACAACAGTGTTTCTACTTGGTACTTTAAGGAATAAAAAGGCACACTTTAACATATAATCTTTCTATCCTAGGTGTCTGTTCTTGTCTAATAGCTGCTTGCAGAACAGAGAGAATAGCTAAGCATCTTTTTTTAAATAGTATTTTATTAGACTTTGTGGAATCCTCTTCCCCTCCCGATTTCCTAAATTATCCAATATGACTTTTTGCTCAGCAATCTGTTTGTTCTTAATATTCAGTTAGTGATGTCAGTGAGCAGGAGGATTACAGAAAGTAAACACCTCATTCGGTTCAGTCATCAGGCCTGGAAGTCAGAAACAGGTGAGCAAGCAAGGACCGCACTTTGAACTTCCCTGGGTCATCAGTTTGAGGGAAGGGGACATAAAGCCATGCTTAACGATCATACAATTATACTTTTTTTTTTTAAGTCGAGGAGACAACATGAAAGATGATACATAACAAATTGCTGAGTGACCCAAAAAGTAGAAACAACAACAGGTCATATGAGAAGGTATTTTTGCTAAGAATTAATAAAAGGTAAACGTGGTTTTGAAGCTATAATGGGGATTTAAAGGGTGCCTCAGGTGGTGCAGTGGTAAAGAATCCACCTGCCAATACAGGAGATGCAGGAAGACATGGGTTTGGTCCCTGGGTCAGGAAGATCTTCTGAAGTAGGAAAGAGCCTACTCCAGTATTCTCATCTGGAAATCCCATGGACAGAGGAGTCTGGCGGGCTACCATCCATGGGGTCATAAAGAGTCGGACAGGACTGAGCATGCACATATGCAAACACACAGGGAGATGAAATCCAGTATAGTGATTACTAATATTTGCAAGGAGGTCATAACAGAATACATCAACTGAATAAATGTGAGGTTCAATTGAAAGTAGTAGATGAGTCCATGCTGGCAGAATGCTGACTTCAAAAATCTGCAATGGAGTACCACTTTTAAAGAATAGATTAAAAAATGCTGCTTGAGGGTTTGCTTGAGTTGAAAGGACTTTTCAACAGAAATGTCTAGATATTATTTGCAGATATAATTCAAGAGAAATTGAGACTGGAGCTTACAGTTTAACAATCTTCCCTGCAGAGATAATAGCTGAAAACTCAATGATGGGCAAAATCTCTAACATAGAGACTATAACATGACAAAGGAAGTGCCATGGGGACCTCAGAGATAAGGACATTTTTGTCAGACTGTTCTTCTATATGTATGACTCAAAATTCTATAATGTGAGGTTAATTTTACTACCATAGTATTTAATAATGAGCTAAGAAGAAAATTTTCCATCACTGTGTTCGTATCATGTGAGTCTATATGACTTAGAATCACACTTACTTCCATAGTACTCCTTAAAAAAACAAACAAAAACAGAAAGAGAACCTAATTAAAATATATTTATTTGGATCAACTGTTAAACATTTTCCCCCAAATGCATGATTTCTTCTCTTCCTTCTCAACCAATGACCAACTCCTTTAAAAGAGAAAAGAAAGATCATTTAAAGAGGAAAGAAAGGTTATTTTACCTTTTTGCATTAAAGGATGGCTTGTGTGATTCTGCCTAATTAAATGGCCACTACCTCATCATTCGTAGATAGTTTGAGCAAAAACAAAGATTTATAATAGTGACCAACTGAACTGTCCTCATATGTTAACATGAGGCCTCTTTCAGTTGTTAGTTGGTGAAAAATGTATGCTCTGGATGATTTAAAGGGATCATATCTGTCTTTTACAGAAATATTTTTTTATGATTATCTGGGGACAAAAGAAAGATGTTACTCTCAGACAGAAAGAAAAGCCTCAGTTCGTCTTCTTTTTTTTTTTTTAATTCCCAGATGGAGTCCAAAATGCCCACTTGAACAAAGACAGGATATGGGTCACTGTTCACCATCCAAGGTGTCCTCATCCTGTCATATCCTCTCTCCTCGACTCCACACCATCAAAAAGCTGCTTCTGTGAGTGAAGTTCATGCTGCAGGATAAATGAAACAACTTCACACAGGATTTACCTGGGTGGCTGGGGGCTCTGGGGAGAGGTAGAATAGAATTTTATCTTGGAGTAACTCAAAAGACTGAACCTTGTAAAACACTGGTGGGTAAATTTCCAGCAACGACCGAATGTTTGGAAGTTGTGGGATGGGGAACAAGTTCAAGAACACCTTTCATAGCAACGTCTTAGCAGATATCTACTCCACACACAACAGTGTGTGCATGTCAACACTACGCTCTCCATCTGTCCCACCCTCTCCTCCCCTACTGTGTCCCCAAGTCCAGCCTCTACACCTGCGTCTGCATTCCTTCCCTGCAAGCATGTTCATCTGTCCCACCTGTCTAGATTCCATACATCTGTGTTAACAGGCATTACTGTCTCTCTCTGACTCACTCCACTCTAGGGTGCTCTATAACCAGGGAGCCCAGTCTGGGGCCCTGTGATGACCAAGAGGGGTGGGATGGAGGCAGGACAGGGAAGCTCAAGAGGGAACGGATATGTGCATAATTATGGCTGATTTGCATTGTTGTAAGGCAGAAACCGACACTGCACTCTAAAGCAATTTTCCTCCAATTAAAAAAAAAAAACTAGAAAAATTTAGTTATCTTTAAAATACTAGCAAATTCTCAGATACAATGGTAATGTTAAGAAAACAATGTTTACAGTAAAAAAAATAATAAAACTTGTTAGAGTTTCACTGACTTAAACTGCAGCGGTGTTGAGAGTTAGGAAGCGGAAGGAACTGGGAGTCTCAGAATCATAACTTCACAAATCATTTTGGGAAGAGCCCACCCTGAACCAAAGTTAAAGTGATGTGAGTCTGCGCTCCCCATGGCATTTGTTCCCTCGTTTTATCATCTGTCCAGATCAGGATTTTGTAAACGGCTCTCCTGCACCAAACACATTTTTAAAGGTTTACTCTTTACAGATCGTGGTGCTGTCCTTAATCTACAGTTCCAATGATTCTATCATAATTTCTGCAAAACTGACAAAAACTAAGGAGGTTTTTCAGAAAGCTATTGGAAACCGTGAACAACGTAAACTCCCGAGGTGCCAGGGGCTAACTCTGATCTTACTGCTAATATGCTATATTGACTCTGTTTGGACAGTCTTATGGGAGGAGACACACTTTATTTTTCCACAGAAGAAAGTAAACACTGGTGCTTTAATAGGCTGCACACAGGAGTTCAATGCCTGCACTGTACTTTCACCACATATTAATGCGTGATTCCATTCTCCAAGCAGAGGAGACTGCCGGCAGAGATTTCTTCCTCTATGGTCAAGCATCCCCTACCTGGGGCACCAGGATCTTGTTCAGCACTCGAGTCCAGAAACAGCAAATTCAATCTAGCCGCAGCAGGCCGGGGGCGAACTGGAACGGCAGCTCCAGACTGGGGCTCCAAACCACGAGTCCCTGGAAATGAAGCCTGAACTTGGACAACGACACTAACCTCAGGCCAAGAAATCTCACCCAGTTTTCTAAAACTCTCCAGTGCACAGTGAATACAGATAGCCATTAACAATCACTACTCTTTTTGTTGAAAACAGATCAAACTAAGTATTTAATGTTGGTGGTGGTGGTGTTCAGTCGCTCAGTTCTGTCTGACTCTTTGCAACCCCATGACCTGCACGCAGCGCACCGGACTTCCCTGTCCTCCAGTCTCTCCCGGAATCTGCTCAAGTTCATGTCCGTTGGGTGGTCATGCTGTTCAACCATCTCATCCCCTGCCGCCCTCTTCTCCTTCAGCCTTCAGTCTTTTCCCAGCATCAGGGTCTTCTCCAGTGAGTAAGCTCATTTGAATCCTTTGGCCATACTTCAGCCACCTGATGAGAAGACCTGATGCCAAGTATTTAATGGAGGGTACCGTACTAAACAAAGTGGCGAGCTCTTCTCTGGATCCTCAATCCATGAGCTGCTTTGGTCGTCAACTAGACTGCAAAACATAGCAGCAGCTTTTTGGGGTCTGATGTGCTAGCAGTTTGCATCTCATCGGCCCACGTGTCTTATCCTTTGCTAGTAGACAGAGTGGTTTTTCTCTTTGCCTGGGTGCCATGCGAGCGGCTTGCAGACGTAGCTTGAGATGTCTTGTTGGGACAAAGCTAGGAGGAATGCATTTGAGTGAAGATGGTAGTAGAGATGGTATTGATGGCGAAGATGATGAAACCTATTTGTTGAGTGTTTAAACTATGCCAAGAACCACGCTAAGCTTTGGAATATATTATTCTAATTAATTGAACATTTTGAAAGTTGATCTTACATGCTTTTTTCTTCCCTCTATTAACTCAACACTCAACTTCCGAAGCCAAAGAGGGTATCATATCAAGTCCTCATCTTTCTCTCTCACACACGCCTTAAATGAATGATTTACCTTCCCTCAACTGGTGGACGCAAGTTACAACCAGTGTTAGTGCTAATTAATTTGCGGAATCACCAGGCCAGTGAAAGAATTAGCAAAGTTACAATGGCAAATATTTCCCACTCAACAAGCAAGGTCATGAATTACCCACTCATGCCTTTGTTAGCTACTCTGTGGAAGCTTGCCAGGGAGTGATAAGCTTCATAAATCATCTTTTATTTTGACATTTAATATTCTTGACTGCTTGTTTAAGGGAATAATATTGCCTGAAGTTAAGAGATAGAGTATGCCATCACTGAATAAATTCTTGCTTAATCTTTTAGAGTTGTTGCTATATTTTCAAGTTGTGACTATTGTTTATTTCTATTCCATTCACATTCTTGATTAATAACATTTATATTTATTGAATGCTTAATTTATGCTTGCCACTGTGAGCTTCATACATGCTGTCTCTTTGGACCTCACAGAATCCCTCTCCTGTGCGTATTAAGACATATTCCTCTCCACTTGACAGATGACAACGAGGGAGATTTAATCACTTGCTAGGATTCCTCCAGCAGCCAAGAGGGCTGGGATGGGAACTCAGGCTCTCCCTGCCCTGCTGGCTCCGGTCTGGATCTGAAGAGTTCCCTCAGCTGCCTCACTTAGCCACTCCATCAGTCTAAGGTGTTTCTGTGCACAGGTTAGGTCAGCATGTCTGAGATGTCATATTTTCCTTTTCTTAAGCACAAGAACTTGGGGTTGTGAAAAGGAAGAGAGGACGGAAAGGAAGAGAGCAGGCATCACACAGCCAAGGAAGTGCAGGCTTCACGCGTCCATGACCAGTGTCATTGGCATCAGCACTGAAACATCAACAGTGTAACTGCCATTCTCCCCTCCCCGGTTCCAGCAGTGGACGGGGGGTTCGGTAGCTCAGATGGGCTTTCAAGGTAATGCTCATTGACTGTGACAATGCAATAGATTCAATTAAATTGCTTCATGGGAAGGTTGACCCAAGGAGTGGTTCCCACCGGTGTACGGCTCTAACTCCCTAAGCTGAACTGGGCACTGGGGTATTGGCGCACCCAGGTGGCGCTAGAGGTAAAGAACCCGCTTGCCAATGCAGGAGACGTAAGAGACGCAGGTTTGATCCTGGGTCGGGAAGATCCCCTGGAGAAGAAAACGGCAACCCACTCCAGTATCCTTGCCTGGAGAATCCCATGGACACAGGAAGCTGGCAGGCTATGGTCCATGGGGTTGCAAAGAGTTTGACACGACTGAAGTAACTTAGTATGCACACTTTTGCTTTTTATTGTCTGGACTTTTAAAAATGGGTGGTCAACTTATTCTATCACATGCTTTAAAATAAGACATTTTGTACCTACGTTCTTAAATATAAACCAGTTTTGCTAAAGGCAGAAACTAATCAGCCATGTAAAGCAGAATACCATTCTCTCAGCTGCCACAACGGTAAGAAAATGATATTTACGGATCTCCTGTGAGAAACACCCATGACAGTGCTTCAGGAACTCATTTTCTCTCTGTCTCCTCTCCGTGGGACTGGGAAGCATCATGCAAGGCAGAGGTCTGCTACAATTGATTTGCTGTATTGCTGGCCACTCACAATGTTGACATGGTCCTCATGATGGGATGACACCAGAAAAAGGAAAATAGTTTCTCTGAAGGATGCAAACAACTGTGAGTATGTCTATAGCTGCATGAATTAATTCTCATTCATATGTCTCATGAAAAAGGCAGTCCTGGTAAGACAGAGCTTCTCTTCCACTGAACCCACTCGTGGGGCAACAAGGTGTGTACAACCTGAAGCTGCTACCGTTCGTGGACATGGGTGAGATGGGAGAGGGAGGTGAATGAAATTGGAGATTAGGAAGTAACAAAAGAAGAGGAATGAAAACCAAGCTTCTGTGACTTTTGATCACTCTTTAGTGCAGCAGGATCCACAATGATGAAGGAAGCAAGTCTGGTGGAGATGTGAGGGTGACACGTCTGGACTCCACACCGAGTAATTTCCCGTGGAACAAAAAGAAGGGAAGGTTTATTTTACTATGAAATAATGCACTCCACTTGGCTGACTTGCCAGCATAGAAAAACTGCAGAAATCCCACTTGCTTTGGGAATCAGATATGGGGGGGTGTTTTCGAAGCAGCAAAGGCATCTGGGTCTAGTGGCCCTTCAGAAACCACCTCTGAGGGGTACAAAGAGGTCCAACCTTTGTGAGCTCAGAGCCAAGTTATTAATACTTTTCCTTCAAAGCCTCACCCTCAAGTACTTTGCTGAAACCACATTAAGAAGGCAAGCATACTACTTGTGAGTAGAATCTTCTTCATGAATAGCCCTGAGAGACAAGACATCGATTCTCCATAGTGCGATTTAAGGGCTCCAAGAAGACCACACTTCACTGGGGGCTCAACTGTAAAGAACCCACCTGCCAATGGAAGAGATGTGGGTTTGATCCGTGGGTCAGGGAGATGGCCTGGAGAAGGAAATGGCAACCCACTCCAGCATTGCTGCCTGGGAAATCCCAGGGACAGAGGAGCCTGGTGGGCTACAGTCCTTGGGCTCGCAAAGAGTTGGACAAGACTGAGTGACCAAGCTGGAGAAAGATTCCCACCTTCAGTGTATTTCCTCTAAGTCAGCAGTGTCAGGGTCTAGATTCCCATCCCCTGATGACTTGCTGCTTTGAGAGAAATTCTTCATTCTCTCCAGAAGCCTCAGCTTAAACAGCGACACCTATAGGAGGGAAGCACTGTGACTAGGCCTTTAGTCCCATTACTTGACAAGACTGCCTTCCAACCTGAAAGCTGGCTGAGTGTGGCCCCATGAGAAACTGTGATCCTAGAAGTGTTGCCAAGAGAGGCGGGCGCATCAAAGCAGAAGCAAAGGTTCTAACTGGAGAAGCCTGTCGTGGGCCCGATGTCTGTAGCTGCTGGAAGAGGCGGGTGGAGAAAGGGCTAACTTTCCACTCGCGCGTGGGACTCCACACATCTCGCTCTGACTCCCTTCATGTTTCATGGCCTCAGCAGTCATCTTTCCATAGGATGCTTGCACGGCTTCCTCTTCTGACCCTTCATCACAGGCTGGCTGTAAAAGTGTTATTTGACCACCCCACCCTCTTCCAGTTGCATTTCTTGACCACAGCACAGGACATGCCTGGAAGGACCGGGCATCTGAGGAATGTTTGGAATTCTCTGCGGGCCACAAGCAGCGTGAAGACTCCATGCCTTTGGAAGAGAGGAGACTTACAGAATGTGAACTAAATATGAGGCTCATGAGAGAGTCCGGGGCACGTGGGACCCAGAGACCTACGTGGTGCTTTTTTGTTATTATTTTTTCTTGCAGCCTCAGTGCTCAGCCTTAACAGGCTTAGTCTTGAAAGTGAGGACTTCTGGGGCTGGGTCTAAAAACTGTGCGTGTGTGTGTGTGTCTGTGTTGCTCAGTCGTGTCTGATTCTTTGTGACCCCATGGACTGGAGCCCACCAGGCTCCTCTGTCCATGGGATTCTCCAGGCAAGAATACTGGAGTGGGTCCCCATTCCCTTCTCCAGGGGATCTTCCCAACCCAGAGATTGAACCCAGGTCTCCTGCATTGCAGGCGGATTCTTGACCGTCTGAGCCACCAGGAGTGGCCCCAAACTAGTCCTGAATAGACTTGTGTTTACAGCTACTTCTTTATTGAGCAGTGGGGAACAACTCTCTCCCTATACCAGGGTAAGAGACACAGAAAGATGTAATGAGTAGACAAAGAAAAGGGATAAAGGTTTATTAACCAAAGATGGAAGCTGACTAATTTTCACTGGTTGTTGTAGTGACATCGTTATTTTGGAGATGTGGATTTTAGAATAAAGGCTTTGAATTACTTTCTTAGTGGTCAGAGCAGGTTTTCTATGAAGCATCCACACTCTGATTATAAAGGGAACTGAGCAAAATTTTATTCTCTGCAAGTCCATTGTCTGGGGCTGGAAACAAAAAATGAGACTTTGTAAATGAGATGCTAAAGATACCATGGAGGGGTCAAGTCAGTGACCTTGGCCTCATTAGCACGGTGGCGCTTTAACCGACTGAGTTGACTGGCTTCCTGCAAAGAAGAAGGAAATTAAATTCATGGGTACATTCCTTTCTTCAGCGTTAATAAAAGTCTGTGCACACTGGAATGAGGGATTCCAGCATTTCCTCTACCGACTGTGTGACATTGGGCCCAAGTCCCAACACCTCTGGTCCTGTTTCAGTATCAGTAATCCACTGATAGTACTTTTTAGTGTCTACTGAGATGTAGAGAGGCAGAGAAGAGTGAGGGGGAATAAGAAACAGCTCTTAAAACATATACCTTACATTTCTGGAAGAATATATTATGTAAATTCCATTTCTAACACCATCATTTTAACTATTATCACCTGCAATTCGCCCAATTGGTAAACGTTCTGAAATCTTTCTGTAAAACTGAAAATATTCCCAAATTCTTGAAACTCACAGGAATGAAAACAAATTGGTTAGCAAATTTCCCACTTAAAAATATTGAAGGGAAAATTGCAAAAAAAGGATGGTTTGAGTTTGTTTTCTTCTTCAGTTGTGTAGCAAATAGTTCCCCCAGTGAAACCTTGGAATTTCCTCCAGTCTGTTCCCCATTACCTCTGTGGGAAAATTGTGAAAAATCAATCTGTTTTCTGCATAACCGTATTACATCCCATTATTTGAGGAATGTCAAATGCAAACCCCAACGACCAACAATATCAATCTTTTCCCTCTCTTTTCCAACTTTAATTTCAGCAGTAGTTATGAAAAAGAAAGGAAAGACATGCAGAATATCATTATACCCCAGGCAATTGCATATTTTAATAAGGGTTTATATAAAACAGGAGGGTGTGTTCTCTTCCTAGTTTGTTATATCCTTGACCTTGGGAATCATATGAGCTTCCTCCAACCCTGATATGTTTCAGAAGTCAATGAAGAATGAAGACTGTGGCAAGCAGAAACGAGAGCCTTCCTTCTAATTGACAATACAAATTTAGATGATGCCAAGCCAAGGCTGGAATTTCTGGAAAGAAAATAAAAAAGATTCCAGAGAATGTGATGTGTCCAATTTTGATGATATTTGGCGTGATTCCATAAAATAGTTAGGGTTTAAGAATTAATCATGCCTTATTTTCTTTAACATCTCTGTATGCTTATTTCATATATCAATACATTTCAAATATATCACTTTTGAGCAAAACAAAAATCGAGATTTCTTTTGAATTTAAACAGAGGTGATTAAATGCTTTCTAACACAGTCTACCAGCATGGAAAGTGACTTCTTTTTGAAAGAAATTTTATTTCAACAGTAGAGCTCTTTTTTTTTTTTTTCTGGTAGTTTTTTTTTTTATTTAAGATAAAGATTTAGAAGAAAATCTAATTTTTACAAATTTTATGTAACTGATTCAGTATCATTTATTTACACATATTTCATTAGTTGTATCTCACATTTTTCTAAGCAAATAGAAAAGCTGAAAATAAAGCGTGTTTAGGAAGCACAGGACAAGAAGAAAAGCAAAAGGATCTCCCTTTCTCTCAATCATTCTACATCTATCTCACCCCTTTCTCCCCTGATGTTTTTCCTGGTTATTCTCTTTATCAGCATCCCTCATCCCATTCTTAACTGTTTCTACAAAGAAGAGCCAAAGCTTGTTGGGACTGCTGCCATAGTTCACATCAGTCTGGAATCATTTCATCCATCCTTTGACGGTGTGCATGAGGGAAGATGGCTGTAACTTCCAAAAGAGTGAAAAGGATTTGGTGGTTGACTTTCCGAGGTAAGAAGTCTATATTCCGACTTGGTGTTGCTTCTTTCTATGTTGAGACAATGACTGTGAGATTCTTGTGAGATGAGGCATATGAACATTTTCTTCAAAATATAGGTCCTTACACAACTGGTAGTGCTAGTGGTAAAGAATCTGGTGGCCAATACAGAAGATAAAAGAGACATGGGTTTGATTACTGGGTTTGGATGATCCCCTGGAGGAGGGCATGGCAACTCACTCCAGTATTCATGCCTGGGGAATCCCGTGGACAGAGGAGCCTGGCGGGCTACAGTCCATGGGGTCGTAAAGAATCGGACACGACTAAAGCAACTCAGCACATGGCACATACAACTCCTAGTGATGGGAAACCAGATGGCCCTGAACTAGGCGTCAGAATATCTAGGTCTGCATCCTAGATCACTTATAAGCTCTTCATACCCTCGGATGAGTTACTGTCACTCTCTGATACCCTGCATCTATATCTATAAAATGGAGGTGACAATCAGACTTCCCAAAGAGTGTCATCATGAGCACCAAAGGGATCATGCATTTGTAAGAGCTTAGTATTTGGCCACATGGTAAGAGTTCAATAAATATTTGATGAAAATAATTACACACTTGCACCAAGAGTGGTTTAGGAGAGTTATAAGGCTGAGTCTTGACTTCCTTCCACTAACACTCTGAATTCCAGTGTCAGGAGAGGAATGCATTAGGGGAAATCATTCAGAATAGAACACAAAGTCCCCTATTGACCATCAACCATTTTACCAAATTTGGTTGTGATAATAACCATGGGAAGCAAGACCTCAACTCTAACCCTAACCCTGAGATTCTGTGCAAAGTAAAACTGTCCTTACTCTATTTTCACAAGAGAAAAATGCCTCCCTCAATCCATGGTATTTTCCTTCCATTGAAGAGAATTCCTTCAGATAATACCAGAAAAGTCTTCAGCAAGATGGACGTCAATAACTGAAGATTGGAAGAAAGATGCCTTTGCTTTGCACCTTCAGGCCTTCCCACCCCACAACCTGAAGAAGAACAGAGACCTTTCCAGCTGCGGCAGGGATGGTGGTTTTGGTGGTTGACGGGTGGAATCTGAGACCTGTCGTAAGACTCCCTCTTCAGGCGTCCGTGGGAGGCATCGCCCCACTCCCAAGAAGCGCATGGGCTTTCTAAATAATCTTTCCACCAGCCTGAGGCCTGAGCACAAAGGGAGCTTTTCTTCACCTCATCTAAGAGAGTCACTGTTCTTAGGTTGGAGTGTTGGACCAGATTAACCAGCAGGAACCCCAGGTGCCAAACTATGCAGAAGCATAATGAATGGGCAACAGGAAAAAGCTTGATTCTCTATTTCTATAAACACCCTTTCTTTCTGGCATCCGCGCCTATAAATCACGCTGAGTATGAGCCTCTCTGCTGAGACCTAATCGTGGGGCGGTGGGGACGGTCCACGCGTGGCTCGCAATGTGTCCTCTGCATCCGTGCTTCGCCGCGAGGTTAAGCCTCTGACTCCCTCACTTGCCTCGTGTTTCATTTTTCTTTGCTGTGCAGTGCTACCCCGTCACGTTTTTTCCTCCTGCTCTCCCTCTCCTTTCCTTTTTTTCCCCTAGATCATGTAAAACTGCAAAAATAAAACAAAAGAAAAACACATTTGCCTCTGTTTTCAAGTAGGAAGGAGACTCGCCTCAAGACAGGGAGACTCCCTCACGGCCAGGACGACTGACAAATTCTTGCGGCTTTCTCCAAAAGTCAAACCTAAATCGAACCAGCAGCCAGGCTGAGCCCTGGCGACCCTGCTTTGCCTGGAAATGAGCGCAATCATATCCTAATAGCTATTTGGATAATTGTTCATGTGAGCGATCTGCCAACTAACGCTGGAAACAAGTCCTTATTACAAATATAGCATGGAGTCTAATCTGGAATATATTAAAATGTTATTTCTGTAGCTGCCTACTTCCAAACTGAAATAATAACGAAACCATTTATCACATTTGTTTTTAAGGAGGAGAACTTTTATAGCACAATAGCAATATATAAATATGGGAATATACAGTTACATTTGAAATTACATTTGAAATTAAAAATATTTTGTCTAAACTTGATATTTTACTCAAGAGTCCTGTCTTCTGGATATCAGTCTAAAGGAGAATTCTATTTAATTTTTTTTTTTGAGCACGGGCTGTGGCCCCATGATGCCTGGTTTCATCCACCGCAGCCTGAGAACTTCCTAGCGATGTGGTTGTGGACAAGCCGCTGACCCCTCTCACTCCGTTTCTTTATCTGCCAAGTGGGGACAGTCATATCACTGACCTCAAAGGCCTGATGTTAGACCAAGTGAGCAAATCGTGTATGCTCTTGGCACAACACACACTCAATAAAGCTATTATTATCACCATTAGCTTTGCCATTGCTCCGCTTGGGATAGACGAAGCTAACTCCTGGATGCCTTCCCCACTCCCCTCTTCAGCCCATCATCTTTTCTTTTGCTGCTGTTTGCCCTTTACTTTCATCTCCCCCCGCCGCATTTCTTACCAGGAGTAAAGAGCATACACCCATTTGTAAGGGTTAAACAAACTTCCAGTTTCTGTGGATCTGCCCTGTGTGAGGCAGAAAGAAGGAAAACAGGAAGTGCTTGTAAGTAGAGTGGCGGCCAGGAGAAGTTGATTTGTTTCCAGAAGATATTTAAACCTGTCTCCATTTGCCAATGTTAATCAGTTCCATAAGCGGATTCATTTTACCCTTAATAACAGCTATCAGGACGATGTCACTGGCAAGGCACTGTTCTAGGTGCAATAATAATAAAATGGTGATGGTGATCATAAGAAAGATTCCAGAAGCGAAGTTACTACAGGGAGGCGATGCACAGATGTTAAGAGGAAGAAGTGGTTATTTTCCCTGCTTTGTGGAATAATCAGGGAGATAAAGTACTCCTGATTCCTGTCATTTTAGGAGGATAAATGATAAACAAGCAGCACCTAATAAAACAATGAAGAAAGACATAACTTTGGTCAATAGAGCCAGGAAGAAAATGAACCCCATGGCTCGATGCTAGTGAAGAAACGACATCTGTTCTACAGCCTGCAAGGACCAGAAATGACTTTTGTGATTTCCCCTGTCTAAACCACAGCTCCTCTTGACAGGATGAAAGTAAATGGTATCCATCACCGTCTGCGGATGCAGCTACCTTTCCAGAATCATGTCAGAACCACAGAGTCAGACGTTTTACGGAGAGCTGTTTTACAGAGACTGATAGTTTGGGGCCCATGTTGAGAATCTTAGAGAAGGAAAATCTGAAACCCATGGTTCTTGGTCTTCAGGGACCCCTGCATCCATGAATGACACCATCAGGACTCTCAACACCCCCAAAATGCTTCAGAGAAGGTGTCAGGTGTCTACGGCCCTGCCAGCTGCAGAGTCTGCCACCCTGCCCTTCTGCCTCCACGGGGTGCACTGCTTCGTAAAGACACACCCACAACAGCCTCATGCTGGCTCTTCTGGTCACTCACTCACACTAAAGTGAAGTGAAAGTCGCTTAGTCATGTCCAGCTCTTTGCGACTCCATGGACTATACAGTCCGTGGAATTCTCCAGGCCAGAATACTGGAGCGGGTAGCCTTTCCCTTCTCCAGGGGATCTTCCCAACACAGGGATCAAACCCAGGTCTCCTGCATTGCAAGTGGATTCTTTACCAGCTGAGCTCTCAGGGATCCCCATAACTCACACTGGTCCGGCTCATTTATCCCAGACTCTAAATAAAACCCTAGCCTGAAGATGTGTTCCAGGTACCTGTTAACTTTTCTTAAAAAACAAACAAACACAAACGCAAATTTGTTAAAAAATCCCCTTGAGTGAGCCGGGCTACTGAAGCAGGAATGTAAATCTAAGCATCTGAATCCATAAGGGAAGAGAAAGAAAAAATGCTGCCATTTCCACTCATCCAAAGCTACTACAGCAAAAGGAAAGAAACGCAATTTCATATTTCAAGAGCAAATCCGGTCATACTTCGGAAAATCTACCAAAACGTATCTGACAGCCCACATAAACTTCCATTCTGATCCTAGGGCCTATGTTTCTTTACTGGAAACTGAGCATAATGTCTGCCCATTGACATCAGGAGGGGAAGCGGTGTCCGGATACTGAACCACCAGCCAGTCACCCTACTGAACTGTCAGAGTTCCTCTTCAGTGACATTTGACATGTAAAAGTTCACATCAACCCCACACGACACAGTGGCATAGACCAGTTTAGTAAACTATTTCTCTTAGGACTTTTCTTTTTTAGTCCTAAGAGAAATAATACCTATCCCTGGTCAGTGGGAACAGGAGCCCTTTATTATTACTAGTTTTGTGCCCTCAGCGTTTGTTGCTGTTGAGGTTGTTCACTAGCTAAGTTGTGTCCAAGTCTTTGTGATCCCGTTCAATTTAGGGCAGCACGCCAGGCTCCTCTCTCCTCCACTCTCTCCCAGAGTTTGCTCAAACTCATGTCCATTGAGTCAGTGATGCCATCCATCCTCTGTAATCCCCTTCTCCTCCCGCTTTCAATCTTTCCCAGCATCAGGGTCTTTCCCAATGAGTCAGCACTTTGCATCTGGTGGCCAAAGTATTGGAGTTTCAGCTTCAGCATAATGAATGAGGTAAAATTTATTCAAATAACATGCATGCATAACCACAGTCTATGAGAACAAACTCAAACACTTGCCCAGTTTCTGAGAGTGTTGATTTAACCCAATTGAATGAATGTGTCTTAAACATTTTCTGTGTATAAATCACTGGGCAAGGATCATGGGTAACACTCAAAGATGAACCAGGCTCGGTCCCTGTCCTTGGGTCCTTCATTATACAGATGGCGGTAGACACAGATCTTGAACTACTACTTAGGTTCAGCCTCATGGCTGGTCAGCCCAGCATTTGAACTCATTTGCTCGCAGTTGTCCTGATTTCTGCTTCAAGGGGCCTCAGCTTTCCCCCAGAACCTCTCTGTGCAGTGGGATGCCTGTGAACTTTATCCAGCAGT